CCAAATACTTCAAAAACAAACCTCATTTTTGAAGTATTCTGATTGAAAATGTGCTTGTGCCATCTATAAAAAAATAAATGCCACTTGTTTTGTTATTTTGATATATTATTCAAGCACATGGATTATTTTCAATTTGTAATTGTGGCAATGCATATGTCTAAATATTTTTGTATATCAAATATTGTCAAAAATATATTGAATTTTTTGGTACAGAAAATTGAAAGATCATCTCAGCAAATCAGTGACCGAGGTGCACCAACAACAACTTAAAGTGCCCCTATTATGCCATTTTTACGGTTCCTAATATTGTTTTGGGAGTCTCCTACAATAGGACTACATGCATGCAAGGTCAAAAAACGCTTTCATTTTCTCAAAATATGCATTTAATATCACCTAATTTTCCAACGATTCTCAAACGATTCGTTCGAAGCAGTTCAAAGATTCAGTCTCTCTAAACCCCTCCTTTCTGTGAGCCTGCTCTACTCTGATTGGTCAGACGGCCCAGTCTGTTGTGATTGGTCTACGGCATACAGCTGTGTCGGAAACGATACGCCTATTTCAATAGTTCTGTATTTTGAGCGTTCTATAGAAAATATAAACATCTAATATTTATCATACTTGCAGGTTGTGATTCAGTGGAGCAGCTGGTCCAAATAAACAGGATACTGATCCATCTTTCAACAGCAAGCGTTTTGTGAATCCCGCGTTGAACCCCCCGACATTAGAGAAGCAGTCGTCTGTAGAATGATGTGTCTGTGGGCGGGGTCAAGTTGTTCGTGGCCGGCCAACGTAGAACATAGGAGCGCATTATGCAAATGTGATGTGTAGCCGTCACGGAAGTGGGATTCGAATTACCAACGACTCGTTTCAGCTGTTCAAAGTCCATTTGGGAGACAATAACTTTATTTATCGTGCACTTTCAGCTTTACAACTTTGCAGATCGTTTACATTCACAGCTACATTACACACTGCATGATAGGCAATATTGGAAATGGCATAATAGGGGCACTTTAACATCCTCAATTACTCAAATGTCTTTTTTCCAATAGGCTGACTATTGCCAGTCCTCGGAAGACTACCTCAAGTTTGAGAGGGGTTTGATCGACCAGACATCCTCTCAACATCCTCCTGGGAATCCCGCTCAATGCTCCAGTAGGGCCGTGTCCACCCTGCTCGGCTCGGTTCAGTCGACGGCCGCCAGAGCTCAGCTCTTCCCTCTGGACATGCAGGGAAACCAGATTCTCCTGTATAATCAAGCCGCCCTAGAGTCAACATCTCCATTAGGGCTCACAGGAGGCATGTCCGGGGTGTCTCTAAAAGGGAGCCTCGAACACGGAGCGGTACATTTACCCGGCCAAAGTGCATTGTGTAGCGGGATGGAAGGATTAGACGGCAGCGCGGCTGGCAGTTCAGGCAAGGTCTTCATGTGTCATTGTGGGAAGACGTTCACACACAAGAGCATGCGGGACCGGCACATCAACATGCACCTGGACCTGCGACCCTTCCACTGCCCCGTCTGTGCCAAGAAGTTCAAGATGAAGCATCACCTCACCGAGCACATGAAGACCCACACCGGTCTGAAACCCTATGACTGCCACGGTTGTGGGAAGAAGTTCATGTGGCGCGACAGCTTCATGAGGCATCGCTCGCATTGCGAGAGGCGTGGCAGGGCCAATGGAAGATCGGGATCCGAAGGGTCGGTCATCTCTCCGCCACATCACATGAAGCTCCCGTCAGCCAACGAGACCAATCAAGGTAGTGTTGGCGCCAGAAGTGGGATCCCCGTTTTGTCTCCGCAACATTCCATGAGCAGCAATGGCGTCTCTTGTCTCAATATGGCCGCCTCTGGGCCTCTTCTAGGAATCAGTTCTCAAAGCGGGCCGCATGGCCTTGGTTCTGGCGTTCTGGGCATTGGTGGCAATCGTAGCGGGTGTGTGGAAGAAGTCTGTGAGGGAAACGTTGATGAAAGCAGCATCACATAAGAAATTTGCCTCTGAGATCACCGTCCCGCAAAACCAGAACACTTGTCTTCGATTTCAAAGGACTATGTGCACAGTTGTCTGATTCTTTACCTCATGTCGGTGAGTGCGCCATACACGATGTCCCATTTGTATTTGAAAATAATACCAATGACCAAATGCCCATTGCTAGCTCACGTCGATGGTGACTGTCGAAACCTTATCCCGGCCAGGAATATGGATTAGTTGCCATCACGTTCAAGCTGCCTCACTAGCACAGAAGATTCGTTCACTGTTGCTCTGAAGTGCCATTCTGTTATTATGCTGTACGATATTATGTTCTACAGAGTTGTACATTACTTTAACTCATTTGGTCCATTCTTGATGTGAAGTTTTATTGAACTGTCACCCAACTATATACAGTATATTCACTCTCAAAGGTTTTAATGTTTTAATTTCTTAAATAGGAGACAAGAATATAACTTGCTCTGCACTTTGGTGTCTTAAGGCCCATTCACACCAATAACAATAACTATATCGATAACTATAATGGCTCATTCGTAAAAATGGTAATAATCATAAAGGCTTGTTTGCAAAAAGGGACGATAATTATAACGATAACTATAAAGGTCTGTTCACAGTACAACAGACAATAACTAACTCTAACGGCTCGTTTGCAAAAAGGACAATAACAATAAAGGCTTATTCACAAAAAAGGATAACTACAACGATAACTATAAAGGTACGTTCACACAAAGGACAGTGACTATAACAATAACTATAAAAGCTTGTTCACAAAAAAGGACGATAACTATAAAGTTAACTATAAAAGATCATTGCAAAAAGGAGGATAACTATAATGACTTAATAATGATAAAGGCCCGTTCACACCAAGAACGATAACTATAAAGATAACGATATTAGCGTCCACACCAGCGGACGATATCATCTGATTATTCCAAGCGCACACTCGTCTGTCACTTTAAATTCTCGAGCTTGTGATAACAGGATTGATTCTGATTGGCTGTCAATGTTTTTATCGTTCATCAGCTGGAAAAAAAAACATTCTGAAAATGTTCCAACGATATAGTTTCTCTGTGCCTTTATCGTAATAGCTGTGGTGTGGACTCTTCTATTCTTTAATATTGAGAACTATTTTTAGAACTATATCTTTATCGTTATCGTGCTTGGTGTGAACAGGCCTTAACTGTAAAAATAACTATAAAGTTTTAATAATCGTTCTAATTCTAAGTAAATAGCTAAATCTGCACCACAACTATAATGATAGTGACTCGAGGAACAATATAATTCAAATGACTTTCGGAACTTGTTTTCAGCTGATGAATCCCACTTTAAAGAGCTCAAGCATTTAAAGTGGTAGGCGACATAACTGCAGTGCACTTATAATAAAAAGAACATTATCGTGCTTGGGTGTGGACAGTAATATAGTAATCTTTATAGTTAGCATTCTTGGTGTGAACAGGCCTTAAAACTTTAATAATCATTCTAATTCTATGAGAATAGAGAAGTCCACATCTATAACGATAACAGCACAGAGGAACGTTTTTCTTCTAGCTGATGAACAATAAAAACTTTGACAGCCAATCAGAATCCATTCAACTTTAAAGAGCTCGAGCATTTAAAGTGGCAGACGACAATTTTTTATAAAAATAGTTCATTCTTGGTGTGAACAGGCCTTTACTCGTTGAAAGGCACGGAAGTGCAGGGGTTTGTAGGTAGTTGGATCACTAAATGAATCAACTCCCAGTGCATTTTGGCTACAGTATGTCCATTTACCCATAAAACCACCATAAACATTGAAGGCGACGCATCCTCCTCAATACTGGTTAACAGTCAAGCACCTAGCATCCAACTACTGAACTCCTGCGCGTTTTAGATGTAGCTTATAGTGTACCAGTAGTGAGAGTTTACATGTTTGCCTTCCATGAAGGCCGAGACCTGATTTGCGAATGGATGAAAAGCTTGAAGAACAAGAACATTTAAGACATGAAGATGACTCAATGGAACCTGATTGGGATCGATCAAGAATTGGGATTGGGATTTAATCACCCGAGTGGATGTTTGGATACGTAAATGCAGTGATCAGTAGTTGCCTTGTACCACACATGCACCACAGAAACCATATACCTCAAACATTTGCGCAACTATTCAATATATTACAATTAGGGATGCACCGATATGAAAAGTTTGGCCGATACCGATATGGTGGCCGATATATCGTGCATCCCTAATTACAATAAATAAACCGGGATCTGAAGATTGTGAGCTGAAAGGAATCACATATCCACACATTCTTATTACTTTAAAATCAAACCTGTGTGGTGTGTATTTCAGATTAGTGAGCACAGACAAAGTGTGAACAATGAAGTAGAGAACATTTGAAACATAATTTAAAAATAACCTGTAGGTAAAAGCATGATTCAGTGCTCGCTTGATGAGTAATCTGGTTAGAGCTCTGTATTTTGTACTGATAAATAAAAAGTATTTGTTCTGTCTACAACTGTTGTGGTGAATCTGAACTAAATATGCGATGGGCGATAAAAGACGAAGCATTTTCCTGACGTGGACAGAAAGGTTTCACAAGATTCAAGATCTTCAAATGAAAGAGAAATAAAGTACCTTGTGCACAAATTATGACTCATTCTCGTCTTATTCACGTTTGCAAGTTCAAACTGAGGAGTTGAATGTTTTACTTTTTAGCGTCGTTTTGAATATTTCTGTTTAGCCTGATTGTTTTAAAGTGATGGTTCGCTCAAAAACTGAAATCCTGCCATTATTTGCCGACTCTCACATTGCCCCAGACCTTTATGACTTACTTTCTTCAGTGGAACACAAAAAAAGATATTTGGAAGAATGTTGGAGTACTTGACTTTTATTGGATAGACAAAATACATTCTTGAAACGATCTTCTTTTGTGTTCTGCAGAATAGCCATGAAGTCATACAGGTTTAGAACCTAAATGACATTAGCAATCACAGAATTTTTTATTTTTGAGTGAAACATCTCTGCGTAAAAAATAAAAATAAATTATTATTATAAAATAAGGTGCTATTTATCCACCAGACTGGTGCAATAAAAAATGTATGGCCTTAGAACAATAAAATTTAACATTCAAAGCCAGTTTTGCACATAGAATACAAACCTGGTTATTAATATAAATGCTTATTACAACAAATTTAATATGGTTACCATTCATTTGATGTACCTTGTCCATTTTCATGCCAGTTAAATCCTCAATTAGTTAAGCAGAGTAATTAAAAACCATTTTAAATGACAATATTGATCAATTTAATAGATCAATCATCAGCAGTTTACAGAAATCTTCTCAATACCAAACGTCAAGTGTGTAAGAGGACACATAACTCTTGTGCTTTGTCACCTGAGGCCAGTTGAAGGTACACTTCGCCCAAAAATAAAAATTCAGTCTATATTTTATGTCCTTGTGAATCCATATACTGATATTTTTCTGTATTCCACAAAAAAAAAGTAAAAGTCTGAATTTTTATTTTTTAGTGTGAACTACTTCTTTAATATGTAATCTGAACAACTCTTCCAACATTTGTAAATTGGAGCATGTCAAGTAGCTCATAACTTGTGGGAAATTATTTCTAGAGCTGCTTAAAAAAAATCCACAGTGCACTGTACAAAGTTATCAACATTTAAGTCAAACACTAGACAAAATGAGCGCATTTATTGAGTTGAGGAGAGAAAGCTCACTTCCCGTCATGACTCCAAGCACAAATGAGGATTGCATCCAAACCCTCAAACTAAAACCATAAGTATAATACAAGATAAACCCTTGGAGTAAGAATGTTTAGAGGCAAGACCCATTTACAATTTACCAAAATACCTCTAAAAAGCCTGAATGAATAACGGCATGCCATTTTCCCTTGTATAAAAAGTAAACAGTGGCATTGCGTCTCAGTGGCGGAAGTTCAAAACCTGATTGAACCGGTCCAAAATAAAAAATGAGTTTTTTTTGTTCTCTGTTCACATTGGCAGGCACTATTGGAGCAGGATGAGAACTCAATCTGAATCAGACAGAACGATCACTTCATCTGGGTCACACTGAGTCGCCACGTTCACCTGTGAACACATGAATGACGGGAGTTACAGCTTTAATCAGCCTAGAACGCTGTATGTAATGCTCAGTCGCAGTCTTACTGTAAACTAAAACTATTTAAAAAAACATACGTTAATTGAAATCAAATAGAAAAAAACGTTGTTATACTTTCGGTGGTGCAAAGCCAGTTATTTCTGAAAATGAAACAACAACTAATAAAACCAACAAAATGACTAATCTTTAAATGAAAAATATAAAAATAAAAACTATTATTAATAAATACTACAATACTGTAGTCATGATACTAAAATAACACTGCAGTCATTTTATTAAGATGCTTGAGAAAATTGTAATAGAATACAGTTATGCTAAAATGCTTTTTAGTATTAATAAATATAATTATTTTGCATATTTAATTTATTATCTAATATTTATATAGAAACACAACAAACTGATGCCTGGCGTTTCTGATTTTGATTGAGAAAAAAAACAAAGAAATAAAGCTGATGTAAACCAATGCAACTTGTTCCCTAAAGAGTGAATTACAGCGATATTCTTCTAGTTTTTATTTTTAGGTTTTAGGACAAAAACAATAATATACAGTCTCTCTTGTTTTTCTTTATTTCTTTAGGTTTATCTCCTTCATTTCAGTAAATAGTTTAGTAAGTTGCCAAGCCAACATTTCTCATTTTTGTTCAAAGTACTAAAACAAAAACTGAAAATTACTATATTTACCAAATACACATATTTAAAAAAGTATTTTAAATTCCTACAACTTAAATTAAAAATAAAATAAATAAATAAATCAAATAGATCAAAATAAAAACTAGTTCAAAATATTTATAAATAATATAGTACTACATTAATGAAAATGAAAACGCTGCAGTGAATTTATTGCGATGACTGAGAAAGTTGCAATGGAATACAGTCATGCTCAAATATTCCTGAGCTCTTAAAATCAGCCTTTCTGCTACAGGAATGGTGTAATAATAACATGAAAAGGCAATTCAGCAGAGATTCAGATGCTTTTACTGCACTGTTTCAATGCTAAAACCAAACGGACACAGTCACCTTATTTTTCTTAGGAGGTGGTGTGGCTCGTGCGCTTCTGACCATCGTCCTGGACAAGTCTACTTCCCCAGGGCAGCAGATCACACCCATATCCAGAGGAATATCACTGAGATAAAGAGAATGAGAAAAACAGCACTGCATAAAGAAAGCTCTCACACTCGTGTCGGTCCAAACCCGTAAGGATTTCTTCCTCCAGAAGAACACAAAAGGAGAAAATCAGTATTCATCAATCAGCAGCCGTAGATCTTCTTGACAGGTTCACAAGACTGAAATCTTGGCAGTGGATGATTCACAAACAAACCATTCTTTAAAGTTAGTTCTTTTGAATGAAATCAGATGATCTGGTTCACAAAAACTGGTCTGAATGAGTTCAAGTTCAACGGCTCACTAGTGACTGACTAACTAGAGGTAAATCAAAAATAATTAAAATGTTTAGTAAAAACCCATGGAAAACCATCCTTGATTTTATACATATATATATAAAATTCTACTTTATTTTACTTGCTTTAAACATTTTCACTATAATAATCAACATAGCCAAAGTTTGGTCAAAAAAGATTCAGATAAAAAAATTTGGGGGGAAAAATCATAGAAAATAGATTAATATTCATAATCGTAATAAAACATATTAATGGTGAAAAATATACTTTTTGTGAAACTATCTACACAAATCAAAAACAGCAGACGGGCTGAATGAGACGCAAATTCACTCTCTGACAGCAGGTGGCGCTTGTGGAACAGCAGAAATATAGAGTTTTCTAGGTTACCGCTGTAAACAAAGCAGTGCTGCGCTCATAAACACTACATTAATATGCTTTATACAGAGGCAAGTTGAAAAGAAAATACCATCTAAACTATTCTGAAGACAGTCAGTTCCCCTCAAGAGACAAATTCATATAAACTCCCACCACCAACTGTATCAGGTTTCATTTAACATCTCAACTGACTTGAATCGTCACATATTTTGATAGATTTTCAACTGGCTCACATCGTTACGTCCCTATAATTTAATAGCAAGTTATTAATTACACTCCCCAGGGCAGCAGATCACACCCATATCCAGAGGAATATCACTGAGATAAAGAGAATGAGAAAAACAGCACTGCATAAAGAAAGCTCTCACACTCGTGTCGGTCCAAACCCGTAAGGATTTCTTCCTCCAGAAGAACACAAAAGGAGAAAATCAGTATTCATCAATCAGCAGCCGTAGATCTTCTTGACAGGTTCACAAGACTGAAATCTTGGCAGTGGATGATTCACAAACAAACCATTCTTTAAAGTTAGTTCTTTTGAATGAAATCAGATGATCTGGTTCACAAAAACTGGTCTGAATGAGTTCAAGTTCAACGGCTCACTAGTGACTGACTAACTAGAGGTAAATCAAAAATAATTAAAATGTTTAGTAAAAACCCATGGAAAACCATCCTTGATTTTATACATATATATATAAAATTCTACTTTATTTTACTTGCTTTAAACATTTTCACTATAATAATCAACATAGCCAAAGTTTGGTCAAAAAAGATTCAGATAAAAAAATTTGGGGGGAAAAATCATAGAAAATAGATTAATATTCATAATCGTAATAAAACATATTAATGGTGAAAAATATACTTTTTGTGAAACTATCTACACAAATCAAAAACAGCAGACGGGCTGAATGAGACGCAAATTCACTCTCTGACAGCAGGTGGCGCTTGTGGAACAGCAGAAATATAGAGTTTTCTAGGTTACCGCTGTAAACAAAGCAGTGCTGCGCTCATAAACACTACATTAATATGCTTTATACAGAGGCAAGTTGAAAAGAAAATACCATCTAAACTATTCTGAAGACAGTCAGTTCCCCTCAAGAGACAAATTCATATAAACTCCCACCACCAACTGTATCAGGTTTCATTTAACATCTCAACTGACTTGAATCGTCACATATTTTGATAGATTTTCAACTGGCTCACATCGTTACGTCCCTATAATTTAATAGCAAGTTATTAATTACACAACTTCTCATGGTAAGTTGGTGTGATTCGTTCAGTTTTACCTGTCATGTGTGCAGTTCCCATTGTAGGCGGCCGTTTGGTTTCCAGTCGAGGGTCGTTTCCTCTTCTTGTAGTTGCCCATCTCGTCGATCAGTAAAGGGCTTGTTGGAGGTAGAGGACTGCAGTTGGCTGATCTCACGGGGGTTGACGGCGAGTCCTGATCGGTGGAGAGAGTCTCAGTGCAGTTAGCCGTGCTTTCAGAAACAGATTTAATGTGATTAGTGGAAATCAGTTCTGTTTTGCTGATAGGCAACCAGTCCATGGTCTCTGACTGACTGACGCTCTCTGTGGATGAAGGGCTTTGTTTCACAGGTCTGCCGTTTGTGCTCGTTTCCACAGGTCCCTCCTCATGTGAGCTGCTGGCTGGAGATCGCTGGTCGTCATCGCCCTGATCCTCCTCTGTGTCCTGCACGGATGATTTGATTGACAGAGGAGAGTTCTCATCCATCGGCTGATCATTGTCACTGGTGTTCAACTGCTCCTCTTCAACATCCTCTTCATCATCATCTGAAACACGTCAGAAAATGAGAAATGGGGTTTCCCGCCAGGAAATGGGCTTATTACATACAAGCAACATGAAGGAAGGAGATAAAGATGATTTATGCACTTCTTACCTGGACCAGCTTGCTCTTGACTGGCTTGGATCTCCTTTTCAATGTCAGGATCAGAGGAATCATCCTCTTCTTCATCTTCCTCCTCCTCTTTTTCTCCCTGTTCCTCCCTCTCTTTTTCTTTGCTGTCACTCTGCTGCCCATTAAGTGCCTGAAAGCGTGACGGAAGCAAGGGCGTAAATTTCATCTAACAGCAGGGGGGGACAATAAACATAAAACATAAAGAGAGCTATTTTTGAAGGGGACACAAATAATACAGCCAAAGATCAGTGTACACAGCATGGAGAGCGTGTTTAAATATGAGTTAGGTTCATAGGTTCACCACGCGGTCATTTAATTATTAAATTATTTTGCGTCCTCTACGTAGCATTTTAGGTTTCGTCTGGGATTGAGGACGTCTCTTATTTAGATATTCAACCGCAGCAAGCCCACATCTACCACTTAAAGGGTTAGTTCACCCAAAAATGAAAATTAGGCTGCGTTTTACTCACCCCCGATGCATCCTAGGTGTATATGACTTTCTTCTTTCAGACGAATCCAGTCGGAGTTATATTAAAAATTGTCTTTGATCTTTCAAGCTGTTTAATGGCATTCAGCGGGTGTTGCATTGCTGCAGTCCAAAAGAACTTATATAAAAATCGACCATCCATAAAAAAAAGTGTCTCACACGGCTGCGGGGGGTGAACAAAGGCCTTCTGTAGCGAATCCATGCGTTTTTGTAAGAAAAATATCTATATTCAAAACGTAATAATCACTTGAATCTAGCTTGCGCTCACTGTTGTAAACAGAAGCAGTTCTGGGCGGATGACGTATGAGGTCAGCGCTGCTCAGAAGTGACGCGACGAACGCGGAAACGCAGCGGAGAGATCAAAACTAAACAACAGTCAAGAATTAGAAGTACAAAACGAGGATTTGTAAAGAAGAATGTCAGAGGATTTCGATATAAGCCAAGAGGAGACTGGTTTTCCTTTGCTAAAGTAAGGAAACTTTGCTTCCTTTGCTCCTGTTAACAAACGTTGGTTTTCACGAGACTCACCGGCGCATGCGCAACGCTGAACTCATACGTCATGCTCCCGGAACTGCTTCTGTGTACAACTGCTGGCGCAAGCTACATTAAAGTGATTATTACGTTTTGAATATGGATATTTTTCTTACAAAAACACATCAATTCGCTACAGGAGGCCTTTGTTCACCCCCCCGGAGCCGTGTGAGACACTTTTTTTTAATGGATGGGCGATTTTTATATAAGTTCTTTTGGACTGCAGCAATGCAACACCCGCTGAATGCCATTAAACAGCTTGAAAGACCAAAGACCATTTTTAATATAACTCCGACTGGATTCGTCTGAAAGAAGAAAGTCATATACACCTAGGATGCATCGAGGGTGAGTAAAACGTGTAGTTTTGGGTGAACTAACCCTTTAACATCATACTGAGCAAAACCCAACACAATGGTAGATCTACAATATTAGCCTAATATCAGTTTACACACAGGCTTATCGCCGTGTTAGTCGTAGTGGGTGACTTACTATTCAACAAGCTACCAAACAAGCTAGGTAACCTTATAATCGCTCATGGAAAAATACATCGGACATCATCATATTTTGTCATGACTAATTTATTAATGATCCAGCATCATCTGTATTAAAGAGAAAGAATCATTTTATCCGATGTTTAAAGTCAATAATGGCGCTTTTCCACTGCATAGTACGGAACAGGACGGCTCGGTACGGTTCACTTTTGGAGGGTTTTCCACTGGGTACAGTACCTGGTACTTTTTTTTAGTACCACCTCGGTTGCGGTTCCAAGTGAACTGTACCGTTACCAAACCGTGACGTGTAAACTCTGCTGATCACGGATTGGCCGGAGAGAATCGTCACTACCTGCGTCACTGAACTTGCAACACAAACACAACAGAACCGCTAGATTTAAATCAGCACAGCCAGCGAAGGATCGAACGCAACGGTTTTGAACAAACGCACCTTTTTTAACAACCAAAAAGTTTCTGTTTCGTTATTTGTTGAGGAAGTACAGATGTTCCTCTCGTTGATAACAGAGGAGCGGATCCAGCGAGAGCTTGATGGGGTGACGCGGAATGAAAAAGTTTTTCAGGAGTCATGGCAGTAGAGGGGGCCCAACTATAACGACATGTGAATAATCCCGCCCACTCTAAAGCGGTACTAAACTGCAGTAAAAATGCAAACCGAGCCGAGCCGTGCTGTACCGAGTCGTGCCGAGCAGAGTCGTACCACACAGTGGAAAAGCGCCATAAAATAGCCTTGAGAGCCTGCTTACACATAACTACTGAAGGACTCTGTTCTCTCCCACCGGACTCGAGTGTGTGTCAGTGAGGTAAAGGGGGAAAGCAGGCAGTGGACCAAACCACTATGAGGCAAGGGAGGGGGGACTCAAAACTTTCTAATCTTAAAGTGCTTTTTTTTTTTTTTACTACTTACACAATTATTTTAAGTATATGTCATTATATTATTTACAATACACAGAGTGGTTTGTAATGATATTTACAATTTACGTCCCTGGACGGAAGGACAAACAGATTCAAGACTTCTAATGGTTTCAAGGAGATCCTCGCTTCCTTTTGGACAATGCAGAAACAGCAATATATATTTTTATACATTTTAAATATTTTATTTATATTTTAAATAAAGTCATTATGTAATATTACAACAGCATTATTTACATCAAGAAACAAAGTAATTTTTTATATGTATTATTTGTATTATAATTATTTAAAAAAAATATTTAATGTATTAATTCAAATAGAAAATATATTTTTTTATTTGTTAACATTTTATTAATTATAAATTATTTTTTATCAGCATCGCTCCATCGAAAAACAAGCTTTTATTTTAGTATTTTTATTTATTAAATATAATCAATTATTTTCAATATTTAAAATCATATTTATTATATTATTTATTTATTTTGTTTGTTTACTTGTTTAATATGTATTTGATCACATTTTAAGTATTTTACATTTGAGTTTGATTCTATAACTGAAGGCATTTCTGATTCCACTGGAGAAAAACCAAATATTGCACATGAAGCTGATGCAAACCAATGAAAAGAATCATTGCATGAATGATTTAAAGACAAAACAAGAATATATTTTGTTCTTTTACCTCCTTTTTCTGTCTGTCTTTCTCTTGTTTCTTCCTCACTTCCTCTACCTCCACGTCTTCCTGTTTATTGGCGTATTTGGTGATCACGTCCTCCAGGCTGCTGAGAGCCACGTCTCTGTTTGAGCGGAGCTTGCGATGCAGTGCTGGATCAGTGAGTGCAGGGTCTAACGCTGAAGAAAACAGGGAAATTCACCACACGTGCCGAACGTACAATCACTAAATATTACTGGAGTCCATCCATGTTTACATCAATCCAGAAATGAGCATAAACTGTTGGTGAGTGTAAAGCATCAGACTAATACAATATGACTTGATTATGTTCTCAAGCTGAATTGGAGAGTAACTGAATTGAATTACTGGGTTTGTAGGAATCTGTGAGGTGGGAGCCGAAGTTGTAGACCATGTCAAGATGGCGTCTCTCCTGCAGTTTGTTGCCTGTCTCCCTGAAGGCTTCTTGAGCGATTTGTGTTATCTGTTTGCGGGTGAGCTGGAGATTGTAGCGTTCGTTGGCGCGCTGAGCCACCTTCAGGATATCCGTGTAGTCCGGTGGATTATAAAGAGCTTCTGGACTGTTAATATAACGTTCAATCTACAAACCAAAGAGAAAAGACAACAGTAAAGACAAAGGAAAGGAAAATTATTCATTATTTTCTTAATATTTGCTCCCTGGATTTCATTCACATTTTTTTTTTAATCTGAATAAATTTAAGAAAAACATCAGATGTCAAAAAAAAGCCCTGGTAATTTCTGATGCTATTTAATTTTAAGTTTGCAATCCATTTCTGATCAAAGCTTTACAGAATGGTTCTCCAGCCAAACATCTGTTTCAATCATGTGATCACTGACTGCTAATAAACAAATCAAACAATCTGATAAATCAAATCAGTCGATCTCTGCAAGGATTCAAGGGGAAAAAATGAGGATGGTGGAATCCCAGAAAAACTTTTTTCTTCATATATCAGAATATTCTCGATCTCTCAAGTGACACATCAAAACATCATCAGCTGAGCTCAAGGCATGTTTTCTGAGCTCAAGCTCACTTATTTCAGAAATCCATAGAAAGCATTAATAATGCAAGATGCCCTAACAGATGACATATTGTGAGCGATATAAAGGGGGAGGAGAATTTACACTTGTGTCAAGTTTTTCGATAGGAAACACCCCATTTATAGCACTTCTGAAAACATCCTCACTCCTCATTCCTCGCTGTGCAATTAAGAGAATTGAGATGTCCTTCAAGATGGCTAACTTTTATTAATATCATAGGCTCGAGGACAGAGGAGTGGGGAAATGAGGAAGCATTATTTTGAGCAATGAGAATCTAGAGAGCTAATCTCGAGGATTTCACAAGCAAAAGAAGAACCTTTTTGTTGATCTCTGGGTATCGTGTTCCACTGTAGGCAATCTTCTGCTCGATCACTCGCCCCGTCAGCATGTTGCAGCCCTTCAGCTCACACAGTTTCTCATAGATCTTCATCATCTGAGAGCACAAAAAGAGCATTAAGGATCCGAACAAGACCCGATAAAATCTCATAACTTCAAAGTCATTTGACTGCATTAAAATGGTTTGATTTACTATGACAACATACCGGAACTTCCAGAACTCTGTATCCACCTTTTTCTTGTCGTAAAAATTGGCGCGGCCATTTGTAAATTCTATGGGTCTGGCTTCCGGTCTCATCTGCGTCCACTCCTTCCAGCTATTTTTAGCTGAACAAAACAGTTCATTTTGCTGCTTGATATTGAAAGTTGGTGTGTTTTATATTATTTTAATGTATTATCTTAATTATGAACACTGGTTTGTAGTGCAAACAGTTTTACCGTTTACTGCACGTTGTTATTCTCCTCGTTATTTACCTATAGCGGCTAATGAACCGGAAGTCTCACCCATAGGCTTACTTCCACGTTGAAGAAAAAGGTGGATATATATAGGACCATTTATTGAAAACAAGGTACAAAGACAACTTTCCCTGAACTTTCAATGTAACTGAACCAAATCAGGAAGGCTAAAGCAGGAATGAAGAGACTTGCCTTGCGTTTGAGCGTGTGCTCCTGAATATAACTGGAGTCCTCCTTCTCCAGATCCTCCACGCTCAGCTCCCGCTCCTGAAGCCGTCGGATCTCCTCATTATACACCTTCAGCAGGTTTTCCAGGTATGCTATCTGAAACAGAACATGGCAGACACACACAAATTACAATGTACATGAACATTTATCGGAAGTCAAAAGAGCTCTCAGCTCATTTCAGTGTCCACAAGTATAAAGCACAACAGTAGGGTTTCAAGAAGTAAATTCCAATCATTTTATACATAAAAAATATCTGTAACATCAACAAATAAACCGGTACAGATCTAGTACGAACAGATATTTTTAAGTATTGATATTTTCTGTAGAAGCCTACTTATACACTGTAAAAAAAATATGTAAAAATAGGGCACTTATAGTACTGTATTAATTATGAAGAAATTCTCCATTTTTATTTTTTTACAGGTGTTTTACCTGTATTTTGAATTTTGCACTTCTTTGCATTGTGTTTTATGGTTAATGGAAATGTCCATAAGACTACTGGATAACATACTAGCAGAAAATTACCAGTATATTTTGTGTGTGTGTTTATTTAGTTTTTGTAATGCATGCTGCATGTATTGGAATAGTGTGCCGTAAACTTAAAATATCGCCATTTGGTTGCATGCTTCATTATATGAATAGTACATTCCCTAATAAAAAAAATATATAAAATAAAAAATTCTGTATTTCACTAAAAAGTGCAGTAAACCGACACAAAGTCACACTTCACAGTTCTTACAGTAAAACTCTTTTATGGTCAGACGTTGTTGCATTCAAATAGGAATCTCCCAAATCCCACTTTAAATGAAACAGAATGCACAACAAATAAACACAACTCAACAAGAATTTTTAAATCCCTATGGAGAAAATTAATGGAATCAATGTTTTTGAAAACCAATAGCGTCAATAAAAATCCAAGTCCACAAATCGACCTTCTCAATATATACAATGAGTGCATCTCTCAGTTACGCTCTAATACCTGTCTCCTGGAAGCCCTTTTCGTTTTCTTCGTTTCCTCGTCGCCCTCTTGCTTTTCCTCTTCTCCTTTAACCAGCACCTCCTCCGCTACATTTGTCCCATTGCTCTTTTGCTCAGGTTTTGTTTGGGAGGGCACAGCCTGTATGGAGCTCCTTTTCCGAGCTGTGTGCTGTTTAAGAACGGTGCAGAGTTCGTTAATGAAGACGAAGGTTTTGCCAGCGTTGGCCTGGGCTCGTGTGAGGCAGCGGCCCAGAGTGTTACGGAACTCCACCGATGTCAGGAAGGTCGGCAGCGCCTTGGAGTATCTGGTCTGCAGGTAGGTCATGACCTCCGGATGATCTTGCGAGTGTTTGGAGCAATGATCCACAAACTGGACCAGCAGGATGAAGGGACGGCATTGGGTTGGATTGGGCGGGACAAACAAGGAGGAAAAATTTATATAATTATATAATTAATAATTTTTTATAGGATAACAGAAAAACAGGGTTTCTGCCGGTTTATAAATGTAAGACTTTAAAGGGTTAGTTCACCCAAAACTGAAAATTCTGTCATTAATTACTCACCCTCATATCGTTTCAAACCCATAAGACCTAATAAAGACCAAACCCGTGCGGCTAATAATTTCTGAATTCTGACTGGCATATAACAAACAAATCAAACAAACGTAAACGGGCACTCAAGCCCAATGGTAAGTCTGGCTATGCGTGTGACGCAGCTGACACAGGACATTGTTTACGTCCAGCTGATACTCTCCAAAATGGTGATGTGGAGGAGACGAGTTGTTGAATAAAGTTGTTGTTTTAATTTCCTTTTGCGCACAAAAAGTATTCTCGTAGCTTCATAAAATTACGGTTGAACCACTGATGTCACATGGACTATTTTACCGATCTCCTTGCTACGTTTCTGGACTTGGGAACATTTCAGTTGCGTTGCTGTCTATGCAGGGTCAGACAGCTCTCAGATTCCATCACAAATATCTTAATTTGTGTTCCGAAGACTTTTTGAGACATGCAGAAAACCTGAAAACCCTGTCAGATAACAACATTTCTAACGTGTTGTCCTGTATTTTTGCAGTTTGTAGTCCGTGTATTCTGCACAAATTATCTTTTTCTGTATATTAATTCTGTCAATATAGTTACCAACAAACGTACCTCTGCGAAGAGTTTCTCATTCTCCTTCTGCAGGACATGCACATCCTTCTTTGCGGAGGCGAACGGAGACCGTGTGATGTGTGTTGGAGGCGGCAGCTGGTTCTTCACAGGCATTTTTGGCTGGCAGTTCGTAGCATGAGAACAGGAGGTAGATGCAGACGTGGAAGCTTCTTCATCGTCATCGTCAAGGATCACAATGCTGTCCATCACTGCTCCAGCCATCCGGAAGGGAGGAGAGAGAATTTGCTGGGGAGTAACGAGAGTGGAGGTGTCAGGCCTGCATTTCAACTACACCAAAACCTGGAAACATACCGGTTACTCTTTATGATTTCACTCTTTGTGCAATGTCTGTCATAACCAAGAAAACAGACCATTTATGTTCTTATGTCAGTTATATTTAACATTGCCATGCATATTCAAGTGCATTTTTAATAACTCAACATACATAAGTATTTGTTCGGTTTTTCTGTACATACTTGAGCACTGAGCATTGAACTGGCGAAGACAGTCAAAGTCCAAACTGAGATGCCAAAATCCGTGTGTACCTAGAGAACAACATATTCATTAATGTCATACTTCTGCGTGCAGGAGACAATTGTGTGTTAATAAATGCAATATTATGGGCAAATTATTTCAATATTTTTATAGACCTGTTTTTGTCATAAATTTTTTTTTTATAAAATGCACTTTAAAATAGTTTTGGATGGTATTAGTCACCACTGTAATAAAAAAGAAACCAAAGACAGAATATATATAACGATTAGTAATGATTTTTACAATAATATCTAGTAACTATGGCATTTTGGCGGTAACTATTTACCATGGTACCTTTTTTATTTACTTCCCAAGCAACTAGAGTTAGTGGATGAATAATGCCAATGACATCTTGACATTATAATACTAATAATTTCATGATATAAATATGATATTTTAGCTTAGCTCGCCTGCTGATCTGGAGACTGTAGTTCTTTAATTCGCTCGTACACTACAGCTTTCTTCCGTTTACTTGTTAAAAAA